TACCCCCTTTTTTGGTATGTTTTTAATTAGGATGTTACTGATGTCATCAGGTCCTGGAGCTTTTCTATTTTTGAGGAATTTAATTGTCTCCACCACCTCTTTGGGAGAGGTGTAAAAAGAGTGGGGTACGTGAACTGGACCCGTTTCCTTAAGGTTGTTAACTAATCTTTCGATTCTATCATGTCGAACATTGTTTATTTGGTTATTCGTGAAGTTAGCCTGAAAGTGTTCACCGAAGGCTTGAGCTTTCTCGTTGTCCGTTGTGTGTACGTCTTGTCCTTGTTTCATTGTAGGAAGTTGCGAGTTAGGTTTTTTGTACCTTCTCACAACCCCCCACAATGAGTTGTCTCTAGGATTGATTTCGGACAGGGTCTTTTGCCAGACATTATTTCGATGTTCGTTAATTTTCGTGTTTATGTACTTGGCAATGTACATCAAACGCACCCTGTCTTCTTCTCTCCTGTACGTCTGCCACCTTTTGCGTATTTGGTTTTTGTTTGTTATCACTTCAGTGATGTCAGGTGGCAGTTTGTCTTTGTGTGGGGTGGTAGTTTTTATTTTTGTCGAGTCGTCTCTAGCTTTTTGTACGACTTTAATGAAATCTTGAGTTATTTGTTCTAGTTGTTGTGGATTTGTAATGTTGTTGTTGATTGTTAACGTTTGTTGTATTTTTTGTCTGTATTTGTTCCAGTCTGTCGTCTTGTAGTCGTAGTATTGTTTTTGTTGTCTGTTGATTGTTTGTCTCGTTCTGATTTCCAAGCACACTGGATCATGGTCAGAATTCATTGTGCTTATCGTTCTGATGTTTTGAACGTCTGGTATATTTTTAGTGATTGCAATGTCCAGTGTGCTAGGGGTACTGCCATTAAATGGGGTGCATGTCGGTTCGTCCGTATAGTGTATAATAAGCTCGTTGTCTTCGGCGTAATCTCTCAGTAAATTGCCTGCGGGGTTGGCGTGAGTGCAGTTCGCGTCCCACTCCGGGTGTTTACAATTTAAATCCCCAGCCAGAAAAACTCTATTCCCCTTTGACATCAGTGTATGCATGTCAGCATTTGGGATTTTCTGAGCAGGGGGTTGTACACTCCTATAAAGATTAAATTACAGCATTTAACTATGGCGTGTTCTATGTGAGGTGAGATGTTTAGTTTTTGCAAGTTCGCGAATTCTAATGTGTTTTTGACTAGTATTGCGACCCCTCCCGCTCCCTTTTGTCGTATGTTATGTCTGTCTTGTTCCTGTCTGTCCTCTCTAATGATGTTATAGTCCCTGATTCTAATTTTGTCTGTTTGTTTTAGGTGTGTTTCCGTTAGTATTATGATATCGAATTTATGCTTGTGAATTAAATTTGTTACTAAACCGCGTTTAACAACCCATTCACATTGTAAAAACAGATTCTGAGTCTGTCTTTGTATGTAGGGTTGAATTTAGTTTTTAAAGTTGTATGTGTTAAGGTTTTTTACAAAATTGTTATATATTATGAAGATGTAAATAATCCTATTTGTCTTGGTTATATACCTATGAGCTAGCACGTCCACATCGAGTTGCTCGTACAGGCGATACAGCAGCGCAACAAATGAACTGAAGTGGGGTAGAATGCCAATGTGCATGTATCAATAAAACTAGGTGGACACAGTATTTATAATAATAATAATAATAATAATTTTCTGTTTCACAATCTTGTGGGCCAAATAATAACAATGTGAAATAGAAAATGGTGATTATAAATACTGAGATGAAAAATAAAATGGCTACGCCCATATAGAGACGCTTCTGAAGACTATTGACAAGCATTCTATCCCACTCCAGTTCATTGAGCGCCACCGAGATTTTCAATGTACAAGACTCAAGTCTATTGTAAAAAAAGTACAGAAAGTAACCTATTCCACACTATACTTGTACGAGCACGATGAGTAAAACGCAAATCACGCACAATTTTTTTTTTTTAATAATTTGCTAAACTAGGTAAAAAAAGAATAAATTCCAACACAAATACGACCAAGACGTAAAATATAATAGAAAAATATCTCATATGTCACATAATATGAAAACGACATAGAAAATAATAATTTTGGATATACTCCAATGCCTGTTGCGGTATTAGCTAAAGCAGTAGTTGTGGTCGCTCGTATTACTTGACATATTATCTTATGTTTTTCTCATTCTATATTATGTAAAAATAGTTTTTGAAAAAGAAATTATTTTTTTGGCTCAAAAACTTATTTATGATCTGTTATTTTTTCTATGGCCAATTCTCGGATACCAATTTTAGTCGAAATCTGCCGACTTTTAAAAATAAATTATTTTTTAAAATCGTTCACCCTATATATAACTGACCGGAAGTATAACTGATTTTGAGCCAGAAAGGAACCTTATTTGCATATACAATCTGAAGTTTTTCTATAAAGCCGTTTTTGAGCTATCGCGCCGCAACAGACAGACTTCATGGGGAAACATGTTTTTCGTAATCTGGGAACCCTAAAACGTTAATATCTGAAATAATATCGGAGGGTGACTTTTCACGATTACAAAACTTCCCAATTATCGAGGAAAGTAAAAAAATAATGTGTGACTTGTGTTTTAGTCATTATAGTCGTACAAAAAGTATAATGTGCAGAAAATTTATTCCACCTTCGCGTAATTGTGGCACTCCCATTTACTCATGCCACAAATTTCGAATAGGTTATTTTCCAAATATGTTGCACAATGTATGTATTATTCTATAATCGCTTTAGAAAGAAACCTCTGGTGCTTCTAATGTCAATGAAAAACTGACATTTTTTGAGAACTAGCTACTTTGTGTTCTAAACCGATCATTTTGCTGACTGCTAAAAATGATATCAGTAGTTATGTTGTGACATTATTAGCCTAATTCACAAAGCACCTTTAAATTTACCCACATGTAAAACTTTAACGATGAACAAGTTATTGTAATGGATATCCAATAGAGTTAGTCGATATTTCATGAACTGTTATTATTCTTGGTAAACGGACATTCTTTACAGTTTTTTTTATCAATTTCTTAAATGTTTTCCAGAAAAATATTAATTCATTTATTAATGATTTGAGGAAACATAACCTCATTCATTCGAATTTTACTAATCACAGTAATAGTTCAAAATGTGATTGAAAAATCACGCCAACGTCCTACTCTACTTTTTCTCTAAATTGACGTTGACATTTTTATCTTCAAGGATTTATACTTAGGTAACTATTCTGCATCTGTAGCGTGTGGAAGGCGGGTTACCCCCCCCCCCCCACGGCACTTAGGCCTCATTAGACACCTCCTAGCTCGTGAGCCAGCCTACAGATTTAATGTAGTTGACAACGTCGCTAAGAGGTGCTTCTTTAATATCGGCCGGTGTCTGCCGATACTCGTCGAACACAAATCTTCTAATAAATGTGAGCGTCGAGTAATCGTAAAGGATATGCTGGATGGTCTCATCTTCTTGTTCGCACCCGCAGATTCTGACAGCCCAATGATATGGAGATGCTTTCGTACTTGTCAATGACCAGTCAGAATGCCTGTGACTAGACACAGATTCTGTCTAGTCACACTTGTTTGCTGCAGTGTTGTCAAGATAACTTAAAAGCTCCCTGGCAACTCTGCGGTTTCTTGTTTCATCCCATCTTTCCTTGAATTTCACAAGGGAATGTTCTTTTGATTAGGTCTGTCACTACTGATTTTGTCAGGCCAATATAAGAGCCAGGTCCAAAAAGTATTTGATTGACTGCTTTCTTGGCTAGTGAATCAGCAAGACGGTTACCTTTCGATGTGGCGTGACCTTTAATCCATCTTAAGGTGACCACGTTGTTGATGGATACTTCGGCCAAAGCTTCGTGACATTCTAGTACTAACCCTAAATAAATTCGTGGTCTGTTTAGGGTGAGTAGTGCTTGTATGCTATCTATATAAAATAGCATGTTCCTTCCAGTGATATTGTATCTGGTTATTTCTTTTGCTGCTATGAGAATCCCCGTTAGCTCTGTTTGAACTACACTGGCACTATTGCTCACAGCCCATTTTATGTTTAGGTTTAAGAATCTGGAGTATATTCCACATCCTAAGCCTTATTTTGCTTTAGAACCGTCAGTGTAGATATCAATCGTACCTGCCACTTCTGGCTCTTCTATTTGTTCTATTATAACTTTATATGGCTTATGAAAGATATATTTCAGTGAGATGGAGTCCATGTTCGCTTGAAGCAGTGGGATCGTATCAAGCGCTTCCTGCCAAAAGTGATGTCTCGCCTCACCAGATCCTACATCAGGTTCTATTCCAACCGTGCGGAGGCGTGTCATTGTCGTCAGAGCAACCTCCTTGATGTAAATATTAAGGGGAGTGAGACTAAGAATGACTCCCATCGCTCTGGTCGGTGTTGTTTTCATGGCTCCTGTTATGTTGAGATATGCTGTTCTTTGAATTTGTTCTAGTTTACGGATAGCTGTTAATTTTTGGGTTTTCGGTTCCCAGACAACTGCACCGTATAGGTCTTATGATAGCTGTGTAAGTCCATGCGACGACTCTGGGGAGAAACCAAAGGTGCGCCCCACGGTTCGGCGGCATTGTTCATAAGTAATGTAACTGTTTTCTAAATGCGAGTTCCATGTTAACTTGCTGTCAAAGGTGAGACGTAGATACTTCACCTCTGTTGCAAAGTTTAGTTTTGTGTTTAGGAGTTTTGGAGGTTTTAATTTCATTATCATCATTTTCCTTGTGAAAATTACTATTTCTGTCTTCTTAGGTAACTATTATAAAATAATTTGTGAATATGAATGTCTAGTTTCTATAATAACTGGTGTAGAGATATTATACACAAATATTTTTGACGCTTTGAAGTGATAGATATATATTGCTTTACTAAATGTGCGTAGTTCAAGATCTTTCTAGCGGCAATATTATATTTGCGGTCTTAATACACATTATCTTTATATTGACTTTTGTAACATCGAAATTGACTAAATATAGATGTATATGTATTAAATTTGTCAAATTTCAGTCACTCGAGGAAAAAATTAAAACTGTGGCAGGCGTCAGAAATCGAGTTTACAAGAACGCTGTTTACAAAATTGTTTCCAAAAATGGGAATCGGCTCTACGTGTCTGCTGAATATGCTACGCCACTGAAAACATTCGCGAATGTTTGTAATGCTCGTGGAGTTCATGCAGGTGAGTATTTCATTTTACATTTCTCCAAGAAATTTTCAAAAATGTAGAAACGTAAGCCTAAGGTTCATTCGTTTTTAACGACCATTGATAATTATAAATACAATCATTAATTATTTAACAAAAAAAAAATAGTATTAACCTTAGGTGAATTTCAAATATGACTATAATTTCTCATAATAGTATATTCATAGCCCTCAGAAAGTCTAGATACCGCTTGGCTGTCAATAAAAAAATTACCCCATTCAAGCTGGCCGCCATAATCAATATGATTATGTTTTGGCTACACTGATTTTTAGTTTGTGTGTCATATTTGTGTGTTCTGTAATACGTGAACACTGATAATAGAGAGAGATAGAGAGTTATTGCAAGTTAACTTAAGGCCAAGTTCAATTTTGTTTGACTTATAATCATGATTTTTTTTTAGGTTAGAAAATTGTATTATCGATTTTTTCATTCGAAGTAATACAAGACGTCACTTTAAATTTCTATCTCTTTATGTTAACAAATATGTAACACGATGAATTTATAAAACGTATGTCACTAATGAATATGTGGCGGCAACTGACGGTAACACTGTCTGCTACTTCATGGCTACTAGAGTACATACAGGTCCGGTATAATCCGTATATAAATGGAAAATAATAATTTAATGTTTTGATTGAGTTAAATTAAATATCAAAATTAAATGTTTATTTTTAAGTAAACGACATTTTTAAATGTATACGTCTTCAATCAAAAATAATACAGGCTAATACTCAAGTGTATACGAGTATACTGGACAAGAGATAATTTTACCCTTTATTCCAGTTTTTTGTAATGAAACCAGCGGTAAAATAGATATTTGTGTACCAAGGCTGTGTTTTGGCCGAATTAGGCATATGCGTTCGAGTCTAAGCTAGTTCTGGTTAAGTATAAGAGTAATAGGCAAGAAACGGGTGTTCAATCAAACTTGACATCGAGATAGATGTCACATAAGCAGGTGTACTGAAGATGAACTTTGCAGGACCAAGCATCAGATAGGTATAACACTTGATATTCTGAAAACTATGCATACTACACTGAATAAGAACGAATGGAAGTGTCAGGGGGCTAAAGGCAAAAAATAGACAGAACAGAGCCGAATAGATAGATAAGTAATATTTTAGCCAGGAGAGAGTCGATGACTGTTATAAATATAGTTAATTTATGAATGTATTTTTAATGTATAATTTCAGTTTATTTTCATTTTTGGTATAAAACTATGGCTGACATAATAAAACTCTTAAAAGTATATATATTTTCAATCTTTATTACTATACATTATTTAGTTTTCATTTATTCTCTCTGACCTAGGGAAAAGGTTAGAAAACCCTGGTCATAATAATTTACAATGTTGGTGTTCCTAATGATACAAAACATTACAGAGGAACACTGATCTATATTATTTTACTGGATAGGATATAGGCTATATTTAACATACTAAAAATCCGTTTCACCAAGGAGACCGGAAGTGCAACACTGCTGGCCGATTTGGGCAAATTATGGTGGGATCACATAACTGAATTTTGGGATAATTTGACATACCTAACCTATAATTTGATTAGTTTTTCTTATTCTTCTTCTATTCCTGTTGCGGGCAATGTCCTTCGGGACAATTCACCCATAATTTTATTTTTTTATGAAAGAAAATATAAAAATAGAAACGTGAAGCATATTGTGTCTTCACGAATATAGTAATGCTATTCGATACTACCTAAATAAATAAAAGAAACATATCATCGTAATTTGTTGACACAATTAAATGACAAATGTGATGACAAATGTGATGACAAATGGAAATAGAGGTTATGTTAAATAACATCCTGTCCGCCATATAATATTCCCAAATCGGCCAATTTTTCGGAACGTTTTTTAGAGGGCTATATCCTATCCAGTAAAATAATACAGATCAGTGCAGAGGAATGATACTTAGCCGATGAAATCTCATCGAGTTCACGCATGACATATTGTGGTATGGATCTGATGCATCTGCAGATTTAAATTTATTTTTGCGTACTGTTTTCTATCAACTAATACCTCAAATTTATACAAGCCACGTCTTCGCACCACAATGTGACAGCATCAAATCTGCTTAATCTCGTACCATTTTTTTTTAAGTATCAAGGATATTCTTAGTGTGGCTGATCATAATTTTTCGAGTCATTGAACCTAAAAAATAACAAATATCAATAAATAGAATTCGGAATTTATTCCAAAAATATTTTTCTTTAGGAATTATATAGGATTTCTCGTTAATATACTGACAAACTTTTAAAGGTGGTAGGTGCATCAAAATAAACATGTTTTGCTTAATAAAATAAAAATAATTTTATTGCCCAACAAATTAATCCATTTACAGAACAAAATACATGAAATAAATGTTAAACATAATATTTCGACAGAAAATAATTTTAGCAACAGCAAAAAAAAAGAAAAGAAAGAATTCTAAATACATTAGCTACAAATTAGTACAACTAATGGTCGAAATAAATATCCCAATCAGAACAAACCATAGACTTTCCATCATTCTTTACAGTTTTTTAAACCCATTTATGAAAACAGTTTTTGAAAATATCTTTCAGAGCTGTATTTCTTGTGATAAAAAAGCCGCCGTCACTTGTCATTGACAATGCGTTGAACTTGGCCTTAAGGTCAGTCACTATTAGTGCCGCTTTTATTTTGACATCTGAGCATGCGCAGATTACTTACATTCTAGAACTGACTTTAATAAAGATTGTGCCTGTCCTTAATTATGGATGTTTAAGGACAGCAGTTATTGGCGACTTTATAGTTTTCGGGTGCCCTCGCCAACATTCGTATCAATTCGAAGTTTTTTAATATTAAATATTTAATATCATCGTCATCTAAACCTTCTAATAGAGAGTTATTGCAAGTTCAATTAAGGTCAGTCACTATTAGTGCCGCTCTTATTTTGACATCTGAGCATGCGCAGATCATTAACTTTAATAAAGATTGTGCCTGTCCTTAATAAGAAAGTTATTGCAAGTTCACTTAAGGTTAGTCACTATTAGTGCTGCTCTTATTTTGACATCTAAGCATGCGCAGATGTTTATGTCCTATAACTGACTTTATTAAGGATTGTGTCTGTCCTTAATTGTGGATGTTTAAGGGCAGCAGGTAGTGACAACTTTATACTTTTCGGATGCGCTCGCCGACATCCGTATCCGTTAGAAGTTTTTTAATATTAAATATAATCGTCATTTAAACCTTCCAAAATTATAATTTCTAATGCCTCTTTAATATTATAGATAACAAAAAAGATGAACTAGAATTTAAAGTTTAGTGGCTGGCTTTATAGAAATGTGCAATATCTCTCTATTAAGGACAGGCACAATCTTTATTAAAGTTAGTGATATGCGCATGCTCAGATGTCAAAATAAGAGCGGCACTAATAGTGACTGACCTTAAGTGAACTTGCAATAACTCTCTAATGTCAAAGTTTCAGGTTTGTAATTATTTTAGCATGGAATTTATTTGCCTCTAATTACGTTGTCACTATTAGTGGCTGACGTTATAGAAATTTGCAATATCTCTCTATTTATTTGCCTCTAATTACGTTGTCACTATTAGTCGCTGACGTTATAGAAATTTGCAATAACTCTCTAATCTCCACTTTGTTATTAGTTATAAGTGAGTGAGACGCACAATTACTAATTTCAAATTAGGAACAAAATTTTGACAAACCTATTTGATTTTCCTAGATCTGTACAGACAGGACCTGTTTTATACATTTTCTTGTTCTTGAAATGTTATTTTCACATGGTTATACAGTATGTCCCCCTGGGTTGGAATCATATGGAAAACTTTTTTATTATTAATTTTAGGAAAAAAAGTTATTCTTCATGAAAAGTTCTGCATTATCTAGAACCTAGAATACAGTCATCAGATATCAAATTGTTCAAGCCGTATACGAGGTTTGTCAAAAAATATGAATTTTGCTCAAGAGTAAAGTACGTTTATTTTTAACAAAATCGAAAATTTTCATTAAGAAAATTGCTAAATTCTTCACAACCATCAAGAAAAGGAAAGCGTATTATGTTTATAGCAGAGAAGAGAGAGAAAAAATTATGGATTACCGTAATTAGGAGGATGATCAATGCAAAATCTAGAAAAAATCTGATTTTTCAGATAGATCAGTGTAATAGCATATTTGAATGTAATTTTCAATTCTAATCAACTTTTCTTAATGAAAATTTTCGATTAAGTCAAAATAAACGTACTTTACTCTTGAGCAAAATTCATATTTTTTGACAAACCTCGTATACGACTTGAAAAATTTGATATCTGATGACTGTATTCTAGGTTTTAGATAATGCAGAACTTTTTATGAAGAATAACTTTTTTCCTAAAATTAATAATAAAAAAGTTTTCCATATGATTCCAACCCAGGGGGGGACATACTGTGTATATTATTGAATAAGTGTTCTGTGTACATATTGCTAAGAGAATTATAGAGAAATTCAATGAGATTTATGTAATATAATTCAATTTACAAGTAAACCATCTGTTCCTGTTGAGCAATATGGAGACAATCCCTACATTCAATGTCAAATGTACTATTTAAAAGGATTTATAGTTAGGGAAAGATACTTACATCGGTAACAAGGTATTTTTAGAAAAACTAATAGATTACTCTAATCCTATAGTTTATTTGAAAATGAAATATAGACCTTTGCTATAAAAACTGTGCTATCAATTTTTAAATAAACTATAGTGATAATTTGATTTAATAGAGCGAGTATAAGATCACAGCTGTTAGAGAAATTGGGGCACAGGGAAGAGATTAGGTAGGTAGGCAAAGTCGTTTCAAAAGATAAATATATAAAAGTTATTTTAAAAGTTGGATAAAAAACTAGTGGAAACAACAAATGCAGTTGTTGCTATGTGAGATCCAATCAGCAAAAAGTTAAAAAAATGCTTTGAGAATGTTAAAAAAGGGCACAGCAATAGACCCGAAATAA